ACCATTGTTTTTACTGGCTTACCGCAGTGCTGTTCTCGAGAATCCCCATCTCAGCGGAAAAGATGAAGACCCGCTACTACACGAGAGCTACAGAACATCGATTCAACTAAGGAGACCAGGTGTGGTTGTGGAATCAGATTCGATGGAAAGGAATCTGTGCTAAATTACAGTCACTTTGGTATGATCCTTACATAGTCCTAAGCAGGCTGAACAACGTCGTAGTTAGGATCCGTAAGTTATCCAACTCTAAGCCTATAGTCGTTCATTATGATAGGCTATCTTCTTGCTGTGGCCATAGTACGTAGTGTATGTAATGTAAATAGTATAAGACCATGGTCCTTTTCTTGTAAAAATTGTAAAATTTGAGCATTCAGTTATTTATTTAGTATTTGATTTCTTTTAAGTTACTTATTGGAATTATTGTTTATGTTTTTAGTCCAAAGGGATTTGAATCCCGAAGGACTATTAGTTTCGTTTTGGCATTTTGCGTCGGACTCATAAATGTCGGTTCACTTTTCAAACTGTTGCCACAAAATGTTAGAGTCCTGCATTATATTTGAAGAAATTAAATAATGAAAAATCTGCATAAATGTATGTATATTTCTCGTATTGTGATAAAACAACGGTACATAGAGTCATCGAATTTTGAATAACGTAATCCTCCAACGAATATGAGCATGTGGAAGACCAAATTTGAAATTTGAAATTTGTTTTATGATCGATTTCCTATTTTTTAAAACTTTGACGAATTTTTGATTAACAAACTCAAGGATTTCAAAGCGAGCAATGGCAACGTTGTGCAGAAAAAAACATTTTTATCTCCAGCGCGTGAGTCTCTGTATCGGAAATTCTAAAGATATGCTCGTTTTAAAACTATTTTGCGATATTGCTGTTGCACTGGATCTTATGGTTTAAGTGCGAGGAACATGATATTTAATAAAGAAAGGTAACACACAAAATGTTAAAAAAACGCCCCTTTGGACGTAATTTAAAATCTGAAACATTTCAGATTTTTTTTTTATTACTATAATGTAATGTTTATTATTGCATTCATGCCTTAGTTGAAAGTTTGGCTCCTATCCATAGATTTCACTGCTCGGGACGTGTAGTCCTTGGGAAGGAAGCAGTGTTACGAATTTTATTTTTAGATGGCTAATGTTAGTATAATTATAATTAAAATTATTTTATTTACTTGTGAAAATCAGCACGAGTCATAATTTAAGAGAAATCTACTCCGGAAAAGTAAAAATACAGGAGCACGCGCATTTAATATTTAATAAATATATATCTTGTAATTTATATTTAAATTGAATAAATGTGACTGACTACTGTGTTAGATGTAAGTCTAACACACTCTAGTTACTCTTTTGCTTTTACTTGAACTCTCTCGCGACTTACTGAAAGCTTTAAAAAGCCGGAGAGAAATATCTCAGCTGAGTTGTTTAGTTAGCTGCTGTTGTTATTGTTTGCGAGTTTATCGTGAGATCGGATTAGCTTTCTTTTTGCATTGCGTTGTATTCTATTTATTGTTTTTAGTAGTTTAAAGTATAACTACTGAATATGTTGCGTGCTATTTTGAACCGGAGAATTTCTCTGAGGAAAATTCCAGCACTTATTTTGATAAGAATAAGTTTTATTAACCTTTTATCAGACTTGTGCATTCAATGCATTACGAACCAGTACGCACGCAACAATATATACTATATTTTGTTTCTTTTATAATACTGTACATATATTTATATATCTGTATGTGTATATATATATATTGCTACGAAATACCCAGCCGCGGTAAGATAGCGTCCCCGCAAGGCGATTTCAGGTTCCCAGAAAATAAAAAGGGAAGGAAGGGTTGCTGTATTTGGCGCGAAATCGCCGATTTGGCGACAAAAATATCAATATGCCATAGACCAGCGGTTCCTAACCTTTTGACTAACGCGTACTAGCTAAACAAAAATTGAAAACCCTTTCTACCGTCACTACAATGGTAACTGTGAACTACCACCACCACTCGGAGATCGCATAAATTTAGTTGTGTTAGAGAAAAAACTCAGTCAGGATATTGGGGTTTTAATTTTTAAATTTAATAGTTAAAAACACTTTTCTTCTTTGCGTACTATCTATTTTTCTCTTGCATATCACTGGTCTTATACCACTGGTTGAGAACCCTTGCCATAGATCTATGGAGAGCAATCTAGAACGAATTCTTACATTTTTGGCCAAGATTATTCTCGAAGTCACATCGAAAACTATATGAACCCTTCCTGTATCGTCGAGCATATCGTGACGTTTATCGTGAAGTGTGTTGAGCTCCCAGATCGATCGACCGAGTCAAGAGCTGTATTTAGTGTTTCGCCGTAAAGCTGTCTTAACACATTAAAGGCAGGGAATCTTGACGAAAGTATGCTAGGTAAAGCGGCGACCGCTTCTCCTCGTTTTTCGTCCTAGAGCGGGCGATATTTTGTGTAATAATAAAAAAAATTTAGACTTAAAAAAGTTTATTTAAACTCTTAAAACTACAAGAAATATTAAAAAAGAACTAAACACTAATTACAAAAAATGTTTTAAAATACATATTTATGAGAAGAATCTAGCATTTTTAATGAGTGTGATAATGTTGATAACATTCGCCACGGTGAAGAGGTGCATTGCAAAACTCGCATTTGAAGCAAGTCAACTTTCTTTTTTTATGTGCCGTACAAATTACGCAGTTTCGTTGGGCATATAGCTTTTTGCCTTTATTTTCTATGTGCTTTTTGATGTCTAGAGAAAGATGTCCAGGTGGATTAATTTTATATCGTGAAGTCCGTGGTGCCGAGTTCGATGTACCAGGTTGTGGCTCTTCAATGTCCATCAAATCGTCTGCATATATATCTTTATTTTCACGTGAAACCATATTGAAGGATTTCAAAATTTACTGTAAATAGAATTTGAACAACGGAACAGCTTCAAACCACAAAACAACGGAACAGCACGTACTAAATACAAATATAGTAAAGTGGTACAAAATAAGTAAAGTGGCGCATGGACTGCGCACAATCCATGCGCTAGCTACAGTCGAGATAAATGTGCAAGCTACAGTAGCGCAAGCTACAGTCGATATAAATCGTATTACTACGACTCCCGCCTTTAAGCTACAGTCGAGATAAGTCGTAGTACTACGACTCCCGCCTTTAATGTGTTAACTGTTATAGCCTCATAGCTGGAATGCTGTTTGGCTGATTGTTTCAAAGCATGTTTATAGTAGTTTTTCGACGATTGTGAACGTGTATACAGTATATATATATATACTATATATGTATATATGTATGCATATATATATATAGAAAGATTGAGAAAGATAGAATTTTATTAGGAAGTAAAAGAATAAATTATGATGAAAAGAGCTGCTAAAATTTCTGTCGTCTCTTAATTATCTTGCTAGCCTCTTTTTTCAAATAGCATTTAATTAAATTAACACAAAGTATTTATTCAGGGCTCTGCAGGGTTTGTTCCTAACAGTACAATTTACTGTTCCTAATAATAGTATGATAACCTTAGCTTTGCTGAATGGTGACGGTCTGTGGGTATCCTCATATATAAATAATAGTCGCAATACATTTTGTCTTAATTTAGTAGTTTATAGGCTATCAGAGTTCGTTTTACTGTAGCTGACTGTTTTATTAGATATTACAGATCTTTTATTTTTCAAACATCTATTCCAAGGATATGAGAAAGAATTTTAGATCTCTAATAAACTCCTGCTCACATGAAGATGATGCGACTTTCTCCGGCAAGTTTTAATCTTCTGACCTTTGCGAACTTCGAGAACTTTCACAGGACATCGGACATCACTCTGATAGCATATGATAACGAAAAACGTTATATATTTCTGAATAGAAACTTTGCAGAATTCGGGGTTTTTCGAATTTCTTTTAGTCTGTAAAAGTTGAATGCTTATATTTTCTGTTCATTCGACTCTGAAATATATATCTGTTGGAAAATTTGCCATGCTTGCCTCCCAAAATTCTTCTAAATTCTAGGGAATACCGCACTTCATCCACACTACACGTCGAGGTACATTTACTTCAGCCAAAAGTAAAACGTGTCGAAGCGGCTTCAGAAACGTTTCCTCTAGGTCTTCATATAAAGTTTCATCAGAATTCAACATATATTTCTAACTTCTAACTTTACTAAATCTAACATCTAACATCTAATTATGGTAATAGTAGCAGGACACGTACGGCCAGTTGGATAATATCTTCTGAAGCATAGAAAATGCTTTTTGCCAAATAATAAGTATTGATATTTGCTTCATACGATTTAAGATACAAATTAAAGCAATTTGTTTCTTATTGGAAAGAAATCCAATACATCTACTTGTTCGATATTAGAATTATGACGAGTAATCATCCATCCTTACAGCTTAAATTTACCTAATTTTATCAAAGCTATAGCGCCTCCAATAAAATTATTCAGTTCTTCACTTCCTGTTTTGTATTACTTAAAGCTATGCTGTTGCCTTCAGCAATTTATGCTGTAATTATGTCAGCAATCTCTTTGAATTCTGCTTGGAGGCTTTCGAGTTAGAGATTAATCACAACCTCTAAAGGAAAAGTACTATATATGTACTTAAACTTCAATCTTCATAACCACTCCATTATAAAATTGTCAGAAAATTCTGAATTGAAACCTGTATAACATATACCTGTATAACTATTTATGTATCTGAATTGAAGAGAATACTTTTTTTACATCTGATATTATATTTATTATCCCTTTTCTAAATCTCAAAAACAATGAGTGAAGTACCTGATCTTGGGGCCATATCTATTGATTCTGACCATCAGAAATGTGAATATAATCTCACCAAATCATTAAAACTATTATCGTAAATATTTAAGATACAACTTTCTTTACTATGTAGTAAATCAAAGTATTATTACGTTGCATTACGTATTAATAAGAAGTTGCATTCTGTACTAAGAAGTAATCCACTGATTTCGAATCATAAATTATTGCAGGTGTTACTCGTACGTTGGTATGATCAATCGTGGGTTGCAACCATTGTCTCTCGGAGAAGGATGCGATTATAAAGGAACTATAGTGCATGAGCTGGGACATGCTATCGGTTTCTTTCACGAGCAAAACAGATCTGACAGAGATGACTACCTCATTATCTTCTGGGAAAATATTGAACGAGGTAAATAAGATTTTTTATTAAGAGTTTCGATAATAAGATTTTTTATTAAGAGTTTCGATAATAAAATTTTTTATTAAGAGTTTTTAAAATAAGATTAACTGTTTTTCACAGAGTTCAAGATCTGAAAATAGACTGTAGTCTCGCTGTTAAATGAATAATGTTAAAAAAATAATGTCAATTAAAAATTTATTATATAAAGTTATAGTTATTAAATTCCAAATTTACTTTTATAAATATATATTTTTAATTATGATGTCATGAATTAAGTGTGGGCCTATTCATGACATCATGATTAAATATATTTTAATTAAGATGTCCTGAATAATGAATTCGTCCGATTCCGGTGGTACCACAGAAATCGGACTCATTCTTATTAAGGCAATATTTTTTATTTTAATATTTTCATTGGACAACAATTCAAACTAAATAAATACTGCCAAGTATTTATTTTCTAGCCATATTAAATGCAGTAATATTTAAGAATATTTATTATTTAGACAATATTGCTTTCTGGAAAGAAAGGAAATCTCAGAATATTGTTATGAGAAACAATATTGGCTTCAAATCAATATCGGAAAACAAGCGTGAATATTTCACTACACCAAAGCTTTGCTTTCACATACAGGCTCAAAAGTTTTATCCAAGCAAAACAGAAAGGTGTTGCCACTTCACTCGAATAAGATTGTTATTTCCGACAATAAGGAAGTGAAGCAGTCTTAGGAAATAATGAGCAAGTTGAGCTGAAAATCTCTTCTCCACCTGGAAAATATATGTCGAAATATCGTACAGATGATTGGAGAAAACAACTCATATTAACATTGAGGCTAAATAGATGACACTCGTCTTTTAAAACAGGATGCATCACAATCAGATATTTGGTTTATGACTTTTTTGAATGTAATAAAAAATAATTAAAATATATATCACAATTAGATATTTGGTTTATGACCTTTTCGAATGTTGTAAAAAATAATTAAAATATATATACTTTTTAATAGCAACGGGACAGTTTTCGGAGGCCAAAGACTTTGTTTTGGTTTTTGTCTGTGTAACTCTACTTGTCTTTTATTATTACTATTATTATTTTGAATTATTTTACTCAAACATTTTCAGTTGTGTTGTGCTGCATTTTCCTTTTTCCTCGAAAAATTTACGCGTTTGAAAGCACATTTACATGATTTGAAAATCTTCATTTAAACTTTGTCTTTCTTTTAGGCTAAATCGGAATTTGATAAGAAAGATCAGAACGTGTATTAGCTTTTCTTCCGAGAAACGTGTTAAATGAGCAAATCAAGCATGAAATGCGCATTTTCTAAATATCTTACATAAACGAGAACAGGAAAAAAAAAAAAACAATCTTCCGTTTTACAACAAATGTTACTGGAAACACAACTAGGCAATTCTTACATCAAGATATCCTAATTTTATTAAAAGTTCATGTTTAATGTAATGCTATTTTAGTTCTTGAACGTAAATTTCAGCCTAAAAATTGAATAACTGAATATAAAAATCTGATTTCAGTTAAACTACCATTTGCATTGTATCAGGAATCAACGAACACCATTCCATGCATTAAATGAATCTTACCAGACACTGTGTTTTTTAAAGACAAAGTTAAACAAAGCATAATTAAAAAAGAAACTGTAAAATTTGATTTACAGATATCTGTATATGATATACTTAAGTGTTTTGAATATTGTCATACACAGATAATAAAATGATTTAAAAAATCAAGGTCATAGGCTCTGTTCACGGCTCACAATCATCCATTGAGTGTTTAAATTAGTAGTTGGTCGAACCGCCCCTGGCGGCAATACATGCTTTCATTCGTCGAGGCAAGGAGTGGTAGAGGTTCCTAATGTCATCGTGCGACACATTCTGCCAGGCATTAATAAGTTGTCGCTCTAGATATGCGATATTTTGTGGAGCTCAAACCTGGCGGCCTACCATGTCGCAGACATGCTTGATTGGTGGTCTTGCTGGCCAAGAAAGAGTATCAACCCCACAGAGACAGTACAGCAATATGCGAGCGGTATGTGTCCCGGCATTATCTTGTTGGAAAATGGCCTCAGGATGACGTGCCAAGAAGGGTAATGCAACCGGTCGCAGCATGGTATCAACATATCATGTGAGCTGTTAAAGATATACGGAGCATGACTAAAGATGACCTGCTGTCATAAAGAACTAGCGCCCCATACCATCACACCAGGGTTTATGGTTGTATACCTTTGTAGAAACAAAGGCTGATTGGAACCGTTGGCCCGTTCCTCTCCAGACACGAGACGGTGGTCATCTGCTTCAAAGAGTGAAGCGGGATTCGTCGCTGAACACTATAGCGATGCCAGTCTGATGGCAGCCATTCTGATCGGCTGCGAACACCACTTCCAGACAACTCTGCCGATGTTGTGAGGGTCGAAGGCAAGCGTCTTCAAAACCTCTGTGGAGCATACCCCGCCTCAGACAAAGCGCCGTGAGGTGGTGAATGGTACCACGGGAGGTATAGACGTGGCTTCTAGTGCGTTCATTAGTCGACAATGAATCTTCGTTGGCGCGGTTCGGGCCTGGCGAACAATCATCCTATCTTGCCTCACATTTGTGCTCCTTGGCCTTTCAGAGCCTTCATTTCATCGGCAATTTTCTTGTAGTAACCATTGCTGCCAACATCTTTGCACAGCAGTGTCTGTACGCTGTAGGTGGCGGCCTATCGCTCGGTATGACCACCCAACTTCACGCAACCCTATAATGCGACCACGTGCGAAGTCGTTTAGTTGACTGTAAGGTCTTCTATATCGTCGCAATGGCATCTTTAGTTGCTTCTTCACAAAATTACAATGGCAGCAGAAAAAAAAAAAAAAAAAAAAAAAAATATTTTTCCGCCTCTGTTATTGGTTTTACATTTTGAGAATTGCGCATTAGAAATGCGCGCTATGATAGCACTTCCTGTTCATTTGCTTGAAACTTTGATCATTCGCATTTTCGATCAAGATGTTTTTGCATACCAAATTTCATCACGATCGCAAAACTCCTTCTCGGTGCTTCGATGTTTCTGCAAAAGAGTGTATTATGACGGCTGTTATTGCATTGCTGCCATCCTTCGACTTTATTTTCGTTTAATGGTGAAGTCAGAAGCTATTTTGTAATTTTTATCACTAAATACACAGCTTACATTAAAAAGGATTTTAGTATAAAAACCATAAATTACAGAAACAAAAATAACACCCATCTGTTGCTAAATCTTAAGTCACCGCAAATGAATAAATAATTTTAAAGTACTCGAAGACAAATCTCGAAAAATCATTTATTCAAAGCTTCTTTAAACAAAAGATGTACTTCTCTCTTTGGAATATTTTATACAAGAAAATTCATACCTTGTGCGGGATCCCGCGAAAAACTTCACTAAATGCAGGAATTCGTAAGAAGAAGGTTCGTTAAACAGAGGCCTGACTGTGCAATCATACAATGCGATTGGTCAGAAAAGGTCCCTGAAGATATTATTATTTTATCCCATATCAAAACCTGTGTCAAGGACTGTGTGTGTCGCAGAACAGTTTTCGTATCAGTTTAGATTTTCTCTTTTGAAACAGATCGTCACTACTCAGGTATCTGAAAATTAGGTATTATTTGCATTATAAACTTAACTGTGTTATGGTATACCAATAAGATTAATGGTTAGTGCAAAGGTGTTGGGATGTTCTCTTTTGGTATGTGGCAATCAGAAGCGCATAATAAATTCAAAACATCTTGTAAATTGAACAGATTCTAACAACTCGTCTTAAGAAAACATTTACCTAATAATGAGACAAACAAAACTCACGTAATACAGAAGTTCCTGGCAGTATACATGGTTCATGGCATTTACCTATAATGATGAGACACTATTATTTTACATCACCTAATATTGAGACAATATTAATTTAGAGGCTGTTGGGATTTTACTAATAGTGAGATAAATAGAAAGGCGCATAACGCAGAAACTCATGGCAGTTATGGCACGTCTCATAATGCAGAAGCTCATGGCTCATAGCAGTAATACTTAGATATCTATCTCCTCGAATATTTAAATGAGCTGATACACATTCTTATGATCTAGTATTTTATCTTTAAAGAGTCCTAGATATGCTACGAAAGAGAGCATTGTTCGACATGATTTAACATTGGTTAGATATGAGGCGGAGCCGGTATCAAAAATAAGAAACAAAGGTATTATAATCTTTTTCGAAAATTTTAAATATCTATGTAAACACTACAGGAATATAACATTTACTCAGACAGAGTGTTTCTCATCAAGAAGTTGCTTAGATTCTACGCTATAATCAAAGAATGTGGTTATCAAAGACTAATCAGGACCTTAAATAACAATTCTTAAAACATCAGATTAATAACATTAATCTAGATTAATCTACGTTAGCTAACATTAATCTGAATTTTGCAATTTTAGAAGAGGCTGTATTTTTAAAGCAGTAACTTATTACAAGACTTAAGGGTAAATGCCTTTCATTTCTTTTAAACGTTTAAACCATTGTTTCAATATTATTGATTGAGAGAAACCAATAGATACTTTAACTATGCGAACTCCATCAATAAACGGAAACCGCTATTAATTCAACTTAAAATAAGTCTTTATACAGCAATCTAGGCGGTTGATTTTTCTCTCTATCATTAATATAACAGAATAGGTTTAACCTAAGCTCAGAAAAATAACTGAAACGGGGTTTGATATCATTATGTTAATACTACTAATAATACTCATGGTAAACATTCCTCCCTAAAAGTTGCGATTATTGCAACTAAATGTAATGTAAAACACCTTAGTTGTCTATATCATTATTGTAATTAACAAGTTAATTTTTATGCATTTTACCAGCTCTATTTAATTATGTTGATATAAATTTAAGATTAGGGGAACTTTAAATATCTACTCATTTCCAGGTATGGAAACACAATTCGCTCTTCTGAAACCCAGGCAAAATTTGCTTCTGACACCTTTCGATCATGACTCCATTATGTTATATGGGAATTATGCTTTTTCGAAAGATGACAAATCTATGACGATGGTTGCAAAGAATGGCAAAGAACTTTTGGAACCCTATGATAAAGAAGGCCTCACCAGAAGCGATATCAGACGTGTCAAGCTCATGTACGATTGTTGATATGCCCCGTTCTTATAAATAAGGAAATAAAATTCTTTTTTAGACTATGTTTCTAAATGTGATTAATTGTTTTTACTTTAATGAAATAAACTGAAGAACTGTGAATATTTTTTTATATACAACACAAAAAATAGCTTACATCTCATTTTTAATAGATTCAGGGATGAAAGGAATTTATATATGTGCTATTAATAAAATTCACGCACACATATCAATTGGTTCAAAGGATACAAAAGAATCTGAGGTACGCGCGAGTAACACGTGTCTGCGAAAGTACAGATAACATTACCTAGAAATATAGCAATCGTAATTGAGATAGGCATATACCATTAAGAATGAGATTTAATAAGGAGAAGTAACATAGATACATAATAATGGCTTAAGAAAGAGTACAGTCCCAACACAGACACGGATGCCGAAGTTTATATATCACGTTAAAGGCACAAGACTAGACTGAAGTCGCCGAGAACTGCCGAGGAAAACTCGTCTTTCCCCGTTAGCCTTTAGGGTTTACTGCTGTTTCGCCAATTGGCAGTTTTCTCTAGAGTTTTTAAGTTTGAGAATTTGTCAAAACTAGAAAAGATGTGAAAAGTGTTTATCCGAAGTTTATACATTCAAAAACTTGAAGGTTATTAAAACATGGAACTTCGAGAAAATCTTTTCATGCTGCAAATCATTATGGATTTTATACAAATCCGACAGCCATTCTCTTTTACGTTTATTTGAACCTATATTATCTTCCTGGTAGATTCAACACTTTAAAAGAAATAATTAAATACATTTATTTATTTAAAGTATCTGTAGATAAAATACTGTTACGGATTTCGTATTTAATTAATTAATGTTAGCAGAATTATAAATGAAATTGTTTTATTCCCCGTGCAGTGCAGCGCGTGACGAATAATAAAAGAAATTTCGAGAAAATACCAGAAAATTCTCGCATTTAAAAAGCTTTTATCAGCGGCATGAAAACCTGCCAATTCATTAGTTAGTTAGTTAGTTGTTTTAAGAGTTTGTTTAGGAAACTGTTCTTGTTGACTGTAGCAAATTCGCGGATTAGTTTTCTCTAGCTGTTTTGAATTAAGTTCTGTTGAACGTTTGAGTAGTTAAAAGATGACTACTGTGTGATATTGTAATTCTGTACGAATATTTGTGGAAATTTAGGCATTTTGTTTTATTTGTTGTGATAATAATAAATTTTGTGCATTTTTCATCGGACTTATGCATTCAATTCATAACGAACCCGTACGCACGCAACAATGTTTGATGTCAGAAGTGGGATTTGAATGCCAATTACTAGTGCGATGGAAAAACAACTCAGGCAGCTCATTACTGCTTTTGCTATAAAGAAGAGAAAGAAAAGAGACAAGCTGGCCAAACATCCTTTAAAGAAGAGATGAAAGATTCTGTTAAAGATGAGATGAATTTGGGCCAAGATTCTGTTAAGGAAGAGATGGAAGCCGTTAAAGACGAGATGAAAGCAGGTCAAAAGGAAATGAAAAGAGAAATAACCTGCGTAATAGAAAATAAAGTCGAGGCTATGAAAGACAGAATAGGAGCTATCGAAAATAAAGTCGGACAAATTGCAGAAAAGGTTTATTCTGTCAACGATGAAATGGAAGAGAGAGTATCGGCTGTGGACCAACGAGCCGAAGGAAGAGTTTCGGCCGTCCAACAACAAATCGAACAACAAATTGAGGAAAGGGTTTATGCTGCTGTTGCCAAAATAGTTGACATGATGAAGAAGAGCATAGCGACAGACGGAAGCAATTCTGAGTGTTTTAAATTTTTACCGATGCCTGCTCATCCCGTTCTGAAGCTATCTAGATATGAGGGGAAGACCTCCTGGCAAGTGCACATAAGACACAATTTTCCATCGTGGCGGATGTGAATGGATGGGCTAAGGCCTGTCATCTCGCCGCATCTTTGAGAACAGACGCAGCGGATATCCTTCAGCCTCTTCCCGAAAGCAAAAGCTTAGATTTCGAAGCTCTGTCCGGCGCGTTGGAGCTGCGCTTTGGGGAGAAATGTTTAAAAGACTACAGCAGGCTCCAATGAAAATCCTGTCAACGGAAAACCGCGGAAACACTCCAGGAACTCGCCACAGATGTTGAAAGGCTGTCCTATCTCGCCTTTTCGGAGTGCCCGACAGAAACAAGATGAATCCTGTCGCTGCAATATTTTTCATCGGTGGCCCCCGGGACCCTGAAATACATAAAGCCCTGCGAATGGCGCATTTTAAAGATTTGAAAAGCGCTCTAGTGTACGCCTTGAAATTCGAGACAGCTCAGCAAGCCACTCGTAGAGATCGCCAACTAATCAGAGCTGCTCTAGTCCTGGAGCGAGTGGATGAAGTATTTGTTCGTCTAGACCAGTGGTGCGCAAACTAGGGGTCGCCAGAAGATTTATGGGGGTCGCCAAATTTTTATGAAATGCATTATGCCTGCATGCTGCATACCATACAGTGTACATATAAAGAGTGAAGCGCCGTCACTCACTGTTTAATTGCAATTTCATGCTGTCCGCTCTTTCTTCGACCGTAATGCGTAATGTATGTAAAGTGTGAAGACGCAAGTTTTACACTCCGGTAGATAGCACCCTCTTCGTGGTAATTCGCCAGTTTTCCTGAAAAGCATCTATTTGACTAGATGTTAACCGCAGTGAAAGGGAAAAAATTCGCTTCCGTGATTAACCAATCAGATGGCGAGGCACGCGATGTATATGATAGTCAGAGTAAAGCCGTGAAGTGTTCGCATGAAGTTGTAGCAGTAGCTGGGCCTGCAATTGTTTTAGTTGATCCTTGAGTTTTATCATGTGACGTTGTGCAATTATGATTTTTTATATTTTTATCGGGCTTTGCTACTCTTTGTTATCAGGTATGTACTATCATTAGAGAAAGATCTCTGTTAATTTTATTAATTTCCCGAAAAAAAATTATAAAATTTTATATATTTGTTATGTGTCATTTGCAAACGAAAAATTAGCAATGAGAGCATGAAACCAGCTAAATTAAAAAGGCACCTGGAAATTAATATAAAGAACTTCAAATAAACATGCCGATTTTTTCAAAGACGAACTGAAAATCTGAAAATTCAAAGTGCACATTTAAAGAAATTTACAACAATACCTCAGAAAGCATTACGAGCTTCTTTAGAAGTTTCTTATCTAATGGAAAAACAATGAAACCCCATACAATTGGAGAATCCCTTATCCTTCTTGCAGCAACTAACATGGCTCAATTATGCATGGTGATAAATATGGAAATGAAATAAAAACAATACCATTATCAAGAGATACTGTGTCTCGGCAGATTTCCAAAATGTCACGAAATATCGAGTCAGAAGTAATAAAACGCATACAAAATTTATCTGTATTTGCTTTACAACTGGACAAGACTGCCGATATTACTATAATGTCACAACTAATTATTTACGTTAGGCTATTTTTAATGAAGATATAACAGAAACGTTTTTATGTTGCAATAGTTTAGAAGGAAAAACAACTGGAGAAAAAATATTTGAAGTAATAAATATTTTGAAACAAAGTCCCTTACCTGGGCAAACTGTTTGCGGTTTGTACTGAGGTGCTGCGCATTAACAAGTTCGAATAAGGCTCAGAGGCTTAATTCAGAAGGGGCGCTCATATGGTATTTAATCACTGTATGATTCAATCGGCAAGCTCTTGTTGCAAAAGATATGGATGAAGAGTTGCAGAACATATAATAAGACGCTGTTAGTTCAATTAACTACATTAAATGCAACAGCCACAACAGCCGTCTCTTTTCAATACTTTGCAATGAGATGAGCTCAACGTATGGAGCATTACTGTTACGCACCGAAGTCAGATGGCTTCACGTGAGAAAATACTACGACGGATATTTGATTTGAGAAATGAAGTGTACATGTTTTTAATCGGAAAGAAACACAGATTAGCAAGTTGTTATATCAATTAAGTTTGGCTAGGAAAGCTGAGCTATTTAGTTGATATATTCGAAAAACTTAACAACTTAAATTTGAGCTTGCAGGGTGAGAATTCAACTATCATATCTTCAGGCAGTAAATTCAAGCTTTTAAGAATAAGCATAGTCTGGCAAAACTGAACTGAATAAAAACACACCGACATGTTCCCTTGCTTTATGATTTATCAAGGAAAAATAATAGAATATTACATTTAAAAACATCGTTTTCCAATTACATTGAAAAGTTAAAGGAAATTTTTTCGAGAAGATTGAGGATTTCCTGAAAACCATCTTGGTTGATTCGTGATCCATTTTCCTTGACATAGCAGTTCAACTCTTCAAATTAGTGAGAAAAGCAATTGATGATCTAAATAGGGATTATACTCTTCGAAATCAATTAAAGACTCAGCCTTGCCAAAAAGTTGAAAAACAATATCCCGTTTTATGCAAGAATGCCATCAGAGTGTTATCCAATTTGCATCAACGTATTTATTGAAACTGGGTTTAGCAAACTAGTTTCAAAAACTAAATCCCTTGCGTTTTAAAACCCTGAAGATGATATGCGAATGCAATTAGCAACATACATCCGAACATCGATGAGATAAATTAGAAACTTGCAGCCCATACGTCTCATTAAAGGGCAATTTTACTGATTTTTGTGTTATACAAAAGTATTTTTTTAAATTATAAATAAAATTAATATGAGTCAGATATGATGATGGTTTATTCGAAACGAAAGAAATGCGCGAAATACAATCGTATTTGTGAACATTATCTCTAGGGTCGGCAAAAATTTCTCTCTACTAAAGGGGTCGCAGTCGAAAAAAGTTTGCGCACCACTGGTCTAGACAACTTAACCAGACACGTCAATGCTTTAAGACGCCACAGGAGTGACAAAACTCGACTATAAAGTGCTGGAACTTTGGTGCTGAAGGCCATCCCAGGGCATGGAAACGATTTAACAGACAGACCATTTAACCATGCAAGTCAGTGCCTTGAGACAGAATACAAGTGACAAGAAACTCTCCCTAATCTGTAACACTCCTTCTTCCCCAAGGACTACACGTGGCGGGCAGTACAATCCCTGGACAGGAAGCCA